CCCGGCAGTGAGGCAGGCCACGCCTGCCTGGCGAGATTTCCGCCGGCTGAAACAACAGGCAGACAGGCAGGCGTGCCGGCTGCTCGCTCTCCTCTCTTATTTTTTTTTCAGAAGCCACAGCCAGGCGGCCGGGCAGGCAAGACCGACCGATGGCCGGCCGGCCGGAGGGTGGGTGGGTCGGATGATCCGCCTTTGCCCCCCGCGCCAGGCGATCTCGGTGGCAGCGAGCGCCGCGTGAGAAATCAGGCGGCGGGGCAGGGAAAAAGGCTCAGCCACGCCCCCTCGGCCTCGTCAGTCGGTCCATTCACCGACCTTGCCCGCTTGCTCGCCATCCATCGTTGGCCCCCTTCCAACCCGCCTCTATCTCTCTCCCCCTCTCTCTTCTCTCCGCTCGCTCACCATTGACCCCACACTCGAGGCGGATCACTCCTGGACAGCACTTCTCCCTCGCCTCTTTGACACCCCCATCAGCCACTTCGATATCTTGCTCGTCGACCACCACCACAACCAACCACGGATCCTACAGTCGAGCACCCGCCCCTGCCACAGTTGCTTTTTCGACACCCGGACCACTCCATCGGCCGCCACAGCTCGCAACGCCCCCCGCCCCTCGCCAGCGCCCGCTCGAACCCCGAGCATCACGCTCCCGGGCTGATTGATACCCCGGCCGCTGTCCCGCCCTCGACCCTCGCACTTGCCCTCGCACTCGGATCGCGAACCTGTGCCCCACTTGACTTTGCTCGCGAGTGATGTGTCTTTCGACGCATTGACGCAGCGAAGCTAGCCCCTTCAACACCCACTGCACCCAGCCCTCTGCTCCTCTCCGCGCTCACCGCCACCGCACCGCGCCGTGGCAGCGCGAAGCGACCCAACCCTCCCCCTTCCTTCCTTCCAAGGCAAGGCCATCGCTTGGCCCTGGCCCCCACTCTCGCCGTCTCCCAGCTACCAACTTCCAGCCCGTCGCCGCCATGCCGTCATCTCTCCCGGACCCTGTCCTGGCTTTGTCGATGGACAACGTGCAGAAGCTCAACGATCTCGACCTAGATCAGCTCGCCAACCTCTGGAATGGTGAGCCTTCGCCGTTTCTCTGCTCGCCAGACATGGCACTAGCACGCCCTCTCTCGGCAGTCTGCGGGCTGCCACCATGGCCTGCAGTCCCCTCTGCCGCCGGCTCCCCCGCCTCGCTGCGTCCCTTGCCGCGCAGCCTTCCCTTACACCCCCTCCCCTCTCTTGCCCCATCCGCATTCCCCCCCTCCCGCGACCCGTCCAGTCTTCACCAAGTGCAAGGAGTCGCTCGAATCGGGCCGACGCCTCGAGAACCTCTCGTGGCGGCTCTGGTTCCGAGAGGCGCACCTCCTCCCCCCGGACGTCGCACTCTCTGACCTGACCGACTTCACCCCGCTCGACACGCCTCTGCTGAGCCGCGCCAACAGCGTGGCAGGCAGCTATCAGCATTCGAGGCTGTCGTCCCTGCTCGGCCAGGCCAGCGCCGCGCTCTCGGATCCCGAGCCCGAGTCGGACTCGTCTTCGGACAGCGACGCCGAGGCAGCCGCCGCCACGGCCGCATCGAGCAGCCGGCAAGCGAACCTCGCCCCTGCCCGACGGAAGAAGGCAGCCACAAATGACAGGGCCGCTGCTCAGACAAGCCCGCGGAAGGAGAGGACGCAGCCCGAGGCCGGGCCCAGCCGGCAACAGCGCAAAGCGAGAGCCAGCCGCAGCAGCGGTGGCAACAGCAGCGTCAAGCAGGCCAGCCGGAGGGATGTCGAGGTCTCCGGATCACTCTCGCAGCAGCAGCAGCAGCAGCAGCAACAGCAGTCGATGGCCGAGCAGGCCAGCGAACGCGACTCGCTCTGGGACCGGAAGCGCGCCGTCTCGTCGTCTTCGGCCTTTGGCAGCCGCGCCAGGGTCAAGCAGCGCAACCAGAGCGTCTCGCGCAGGCGGCCCCTCAGCTTCCAGATGGCCATCGAGAGCCTCTACCTCGATAGCACCAGCCGCGACAGCCTCAGCGCGCTCGTGCGCACGGCGCGTCCGGGCCTTTCGCGGATGTCGTCCGAGATGATTTCGAGCACCGGCGCCATCGACGCGCCCCAGCGGCCATCATCGGGCGATGCCTTTGAGGCCGCCGAGCGCTTCAGTGCGCCGGCCGAATACAGCTCCACGGCTGCGTCGTCGGCCCACTCGCCGGCTGCAATCCAGCGGACAGAGGCAGCAGCCTTCGGCCGCTCGGTTGAGCCCTGCCGCGCCCCCGAGACCGCCGGACCGATGTCGCCCTCCAAGATGAACATCGCCACTGCCCCGACCGTTGGTGCCATCTCGCGGACCGCCTCGCCCGGCCCGGTCGCCGCATCGTCCTCGGCCGCTCTTAGCCAGCACGATGAGGAGGCCGCCCGGCTGATGCCGCCTCCGGCGTCGATTCCTCCCAAGGCATCCAAGCCCACCAGCGAGGCGCAGGCCAGCGCCCACGCCGGCAGCCGGCAGCCGAGCTCTACCACGAAGCGCAAACCGGCACCGTCGGCCGAGGACCTGGAGCAAACCGCTGCGCAGGACGCGGCACCTTCGAGCGCTGCCGCCGCAGCAGCGCAGCCCGTCGAGGAGCAGAAGCAGCGCATCGGAGGTGCCAGTGCCGCCTTCTACCTTGCCAGCCCCGAGTCGAGCAGCAGCGTCGCGAGCAACCGCCGCCCCTCGGAGGCCAATGGCAGCGCCATCACAAGCTCGACCCCGGCCGAGCCCGCCCGCCAGGAGGGCACTGCCAAGCCGGCCGCCAAGGCTGCCGCTGCGGCATCGAAGCCCAAGGCCCGCGACGGCCACGCACCGCAGCTCCACGCCGGGCACCGCTCAAAGTCGTCGACCGGACTGCACCGCGACCACCGCCACCACAAGAGCACCGACAGGCTTCCCGTCAAGCGCAACAGCCAGGTCAGGCTCGGCAACGTCTTTTCCGGCCTGACGATGACCAAGGCGGCGCCCGCACCGGCTGCAGCGCCAGCCCAGAAGGGCAAGCTTGCCGCGACAGCCGCGCCGACCGCGGGCGCCCACAACGCCAACAAGAAGAAGCAGCCTGTCCAGTTTACCATGGGAGGCGATGATTCGGACTCGTTCGAGGACGAGGACGACGAGGACCTCATCGAAGAGGCCGCCGCGCCCGCCGAGGCCAAAGGACCGGCCCCGACCGAGGTGGTCGAGGCTGCGGATGCGGATGACGGCTTCGAGGACGAGGACGACGATGAGGAGTGGGCGAGCGATCCCGAGGCCGAAGAGGCCGAGCGGCAGGCGCAGGCGGCCGCGGCCGCGGAGCGTCGTCGGCGCGAGGAGGAGGAGCACCAGAGGTCCATGTTCCAGAAGATCCCGATTCGCTCCAAGAGTGCCGCCGACGTCCGTCTGGCCCTCCCGCAGGAGCAGACCAGCGCCGGGCCATCGCCGCCGCAGCAGCCGGTTCGGGGCCTGCTCAGCTCGCTCTTCCACCCGGACGAGCAGCACTCGCCTCCGGGCCAGCTCGCCGGCCGCCCTCACGCAAGCGCGGCCGACCTGCGCGCCAAGCCGAGCTTGTCTAGCGGCCTCGCCCTCAGCCAAAAAGCTGCCGCGTCAAAGAGGCGGCCCCGCAGCCGAGAGAATGCGTCGTCGGGCGCAACGGGCAGCACCAGCACCAGCGGCAGCGGCATCCAGGCAGGGCCCTTCTCTGGCGGCCTGCGCACCAGCAAGAGCGCCGTGGCGCTTCCTCTGCTCGACACCTCGGTGACGCGGTCCTCGACTGGCGGAGGCAAGGCTCGACAGCAGCAGCAGCAGCAGCAGCAGGAATCCCAGCACTCGCAGCAGACCAACGCATTGGGCCGGCGCGCCTCTGACCCTCAGGGTTCCATCGACGATGGCGCGAGCAACAGCAGCCACGGATCGACGGGCGGCAAGCCCAGCAGCGTGGCCATGGCCAAGCTCAATGCGCTGGCCCACATGCGTTCGCACGCCGACCGCGACCGCAGCGGCCAGGCCGGAGTGGATGCAGCCACGCGCGAGGCCGAGTCGCGGGCGATGCGACTCGAGGTCAGCCCATCGAACGACGACATTGAGGAGTCGGGCGCGGGTCTGCCCAACCACCTGCAGGCCCAGCAGCAGCAGCAGCAGCCGTACCACCACGGCATGGGCGCGCGGTCCAAGAGCGAGAACGCCTCTGCGGGTCCGATGGCGGCGCCCGCGCTGTCGCGGCACCGTTCCAGCCTGGACCTGCCCGAGACGGCGGCTCCGCAGACGCCGCGGACGACGCGGCGCAACATGCTGCGCGACGAGCTGTCCGAGAGCCTGCGGCAGAACCTGCTGTGGGAGCGGCAGTCGCGGACGCGCATGCTGGGCATCGGCACCAAGAAGGAGACGGTGCTGGGCGGCAACCAGCTGCGGCCGCTCACCTCGGCGCACCCCGCCGGCTCCGGCTCTGGCTCGGCGCAGCAGCAGCAGCAGCAGCAGCCGAATGCCAAGCCGAAGCGGTACAGCGAGGAGTGGGGATCGTTCCACCACAAGGGATGGTAGACGAGTCCCTCGCCCGCCTCGATGCCGCCGCCGTGCTTTGCCTACTCCTCGCCTCGACATCCGCCCGTCCACCTATACCCTGCTCCTGCTCGATCGCACATACCGGACCCGGCCCCTGCTTCTTGCGTCAGTCATCCACCAATCCTCGCCAACCCCCATCGCCACGGCCCTCTCTCAACACGACACGACCCTCGATGATTACACGCACGCACCTACGCACACACGCACGCACACACACGCACACACACACGCACCCTCTTTTTCTTTCACGGGCTCCTCGATTCCTCGACTCCTCTTCCGCCGGCGTTTCGCTGTACACTATACCTATTCTAAGAGACGCTTCCGCTTCCGATCCGCTCCCAGCTGCAGGCCGGCCCGCCATTCTGGGCCCCCGCACGTCTAATATCGAAATCGACTTCCGCTTCGCGGGGGGCTCGTTCGACGAACGATACTGCCCTGTTACACCATCATCGTATGGCTGGCGCTCGATCGTCTGCCCGTCTGCCTGTCTGCCTGATCGAATGTTGTGGACTGGGCGGTGAGGTGGGTGCGAGAGTGGGCTCCCGTGAAAGGCGAAACGAGATGGAACGTCGACGATGCCGGGGACCGCTTTTGGCCCCTAATCCCGAGTGCCGAGATGGGAAAAGAAGGAGTAGTGAGCGAAAAGACGACGAGACCTCCACTTTTCCTGCGTTCCGCGGGTGGCCAGAGGCCTGGCCTGGCCCTGGGCTGTTCCCGGTCGCGTTCCTGCCTGGAGCGGTGAGCCTTGGCTTGGTGTTGGACTCGAGGCGGAGAGGGAGAAGAGGCCAGCCTTAGCTTGCCCTCGGTTGCAAAAAAATCATCTCCTCGCCCGGCGCGGGAAGGTGCGGCGGTGTTGGTCTCCCTCCCCTCCCTCCGCTCCCTCCCCTTTCGCTGAGCGCGGAACGAGGGGAGCGAGGCAAGACCTACCAAAGACGGTCCCGTGCTTGCCTGGTCCTTCTTGACAACTCGCCCCACCGCTCCACCGCTCCAAGCACACCGTACCCTGACTCGACCAAACAGTACCTCGGATTACGTATGTCAATACCTGCGTGACAATGGGTCGGTCCACCGCTGCGATGCCGACAAAGGAGCCGCGGCGTCCGAGCTCGCTCGAGCTGCCACACCCGTCTGCCATGTTTTTCTCTCCTTCTTCCCTGCCGCCACCCACCCAAGACCACCGGCAAGCACGCAGACATGGCAGGCAGGGGCAAAGGGCGAGGGATGGCTCGCGATTGGAGCATGCCACCGTATGCGGTGCATCCTGCAGCCAGACCTCACGTACATGCGCCCGCGCCGCGCCGCGCCAGGCCGCTCCGCGTCGACCTGACTAGGCAGGCTGCCCACCATACCGTGCACCGGTCTGCGCAAGCAGGCATGCGCTGGGCGGCATTCAAGCTCTTCGTGCATCGTCTCGGACCAAGCAGGAACAAGGGGAATCGAGCTAGAGAAAGGCGATTCGGGCCCCGGTGCTCTGGTGGGCTCCCCTCCTTGGTGCCGGAGGGCCGCCATCGTTTTGCTCCATCCTTGGTCGGTCGAGGTGGCGGTGGTTGACCCCCTTCCGTTCCGGGCTGATCTGCCAGAACAGGTAGGGCGTCGACGTGGTCGAGGCGCAAGCTAAGAGCGAGTCCTCTGTCTGCTGTGTCAGTCGCCGCAGCCGCTCGTCGAAGCTGCACCGCCAGAGTATGTACGAGGTACCTGCTGTCGACCAGCTTGGCACTTTTTGCGCAGCAAGCAAGCTGCCTTTGCAGCAGCATGCCTCTTGCACGTCGTACGTAGGCTCGAGCCCGGCCTGCCGCATAGGCAAGCGCGACAGCATCGGCCACCTCGCCGGCTCCGCCACCTCTGTAGCAGCCCAAGCAGCGTTGGCAACGCCATCGGTGCCGGTGCCGGTGGCCCGCACGCAGAGGCCGCCCCCGTCAGCCTCGCGCGGAAGCCGGGCGAGCCTGGCCCGATTGCAGCAGCTTGGACTTCGTTGCAGAAAGCGAGAGGCTCTCTTAAAGGCGGCCTTTGCGACGGAGCTCGACGGCAGCTGCGGCGGGCGTCGCCGCGAGAGAGAGGAAGAAGAAGGCAGAGGCAAAGCAAGACCGCCACCCGTACGGCCAGGGAGCGTCCGCCCCGGTTTCGCGCTGGGCCTGTCTGGCCAGGCCGTCCGGAAAGCGATCCGGTGGCGACAACACTCTAGCTTCCCGCCCCCTCCGCCCCGCAAGAGGCGTCGGCGCCGTAGCGTGCAAGATGAATGCTGCGCAGGCATCGTCGACCTGCACTCGTCCTCCAGTCTACCTGCTCTTGGGCCTCTGTGGGCCTGGGCCCGGGCGGGGTAGCTCGCCGGCGCGATACAGGCGAACGAAGAAGGGACGGAAAAAGACGTCGAAAAATGGAGAGAAAAATGCCGAGTCGAGGCGAGGCGGGAGAGGGAGAAAAAATTGAGAAGTGGACCAGGCGAGCGGGCGGGCGGGCGAGCGAGCGTGGAACGGGCCAGCCAGCGGCGGCCAGAGAGAGGCCAGGCCTTTCCATGACGAGCGAGGGCTTGGCCTGGCCTGGCTGGCCGGGCCTGCCGCGGCGAAGACCAGGCAGGCAGGGCCCAGAGCGAGGGCGAGAGGCGGCGAGGCAGCTACCGGTACGGCAGCAGCAGCAGCAGCAGCACAGCGTTGGTCCCTCGCCCGCCGCTTTTTAAGAAGGGGTGGTGGCTTCACAGGCTCCAGGTCTTGTCCTGCTTCACCCCTGCCGTGCCCTGGTCTTCTCTCCAAGACCGACCGCCATCACCCTGCCCTGACCCTTGCGCTCGTGGATCCCTCGCCTCCTCCTCCTCCTCCTCCACCACCACCACCATCGACCCTTGCGGCTCGCCCTCTGACCCGGCCTGCTGCGATCTCGACGTCCTCGTGGTCGAGCTGCACCTGTCCCGCTCCGCAATCGGGATCAGAAGCAGAAGGGAACCGGGAGCGAGGGCATCCATCGCCGCTTGCGACGACCAGTGGGCCAGGTTCCGCCCGACGCAAGGCAGGGCAGCCGGTGTCGATCGACCCCTTTGCAGCTACGCCAAGCCCGCCTCTTACGACCTTTTCGGCTCCTCTCCGCCCGGCCTCTCCGTCAGCCGTCCCAGCCGTGCCGTTGCTTGCCTCCGAAGTTGCCCCTAGGCCACGTTGCGTGTCGGCGACGACATCCGCAAACGAGCAGGTACGTACCTCGAATGCGCTGCCTTGCCTCGACGCCTGCGTCCAGCGTGGTGCTCGATAGTACTTAGTGGCCCGGCGGCAATTTGACGCCCTCGCCGTCTCTTTGGACATCTGTATTTGTCTCCACCACCACCTCCCCGCGCGGTGCTCCAGCGCATTTGCGGCTTCGCAGAGTAGCGGAACCGTTCCGACCGGCAACGGCTTCCCTGAGCTTGTCTGCGGTAGCACAAACCAGCACCGCACCGCACCGCACCGCAGCGCACCACAGCACATTCTGCCCACCCACTCTTCCGGCAGCCCGATCCGTCTACGACGACTGGGAGATCTTCCTCTGCGCTGGACACGGAGAGATCGACCGGCAATACGACAAGCAGCAGTGCGACGCTGCCCGAGCTGGCCTGTGCCACCCGACAGCAGCGTCACCAGCGTCACCAGCAGCACCAGCAGCAGCGCAAGAAGGTCCCGCTGCCACGGCTCGGTCCTTCCGCTCGGCGTGCGATCCGTCTTTCTTTGCTTGGCGCTCGGGCAACTTCCGGCTCGTCGTCTATCGGCTGCGCCGATCCCAGCTTTGCACCCCAACATCACCCACCACCGCCACTCGCCTCCTCTTTCCCCGTCGCCACTCTCTCCTCTCTCTCTCTCTCTCTCTCTCTGACCCTGTCCGCGGCATCACTCTCTCTACCCGGCCCCTCCGGTGCTGGATTCTCGGACGGGTGCTCGCCTAGGCCGGCCGTCGTTCGCTGCCAGGCCACGCGTTCACCCCCGGCCATTCGGCTGCCGCCGCCAACGCCAACACTCCAGTCCTTACGCTTCTGCTCCACCCTTCTCAGCCGCGCTCCCACCTTCATTGCACCCACACACACTCGCCTCCAGGACGACATACGGCACGCTCGTAGACCCGCTCGGCGCTCTCGACGTGCGGCCAACGGCCTCGCGGACCTTTTGACGCTTGCTTCAGTCGTCGGTCGGCTCTCTATCCTGCCTCATCTTCTCACCAGAGGCCGCTCACACGCCTTGGGCAGCGGACGCTCCGCGTCGGCCAGGCTTGATCAAAGGCGCTGCTCCTATTTGTACAGGCGGTCTTCCTACGCCTTCGAGCGCGCGCTCGGCGGGATCGAGCTCGTCAAGGTCGATAGCCTGCTTCGCCCAGGCCAACGTGGTCTGTCCAGGGGCCGTCGGACGCCCACGACCTTGCCCTCGCCTGAGCTGCTCAGCGTCCCCTCTGAGAAGTCGACAAGCCGCCGCCCACACCGCGGGCACCAGCAGCCCCGTGCACTGCCTAGCTGCTGACGGTCGTAGGCCGCTCAGTGTCGAGCGAGTCTACTCAGTGTAGCCCACCTCAGGGCGAAGCGACCCCACGCTCCCAACGTCAGCGAAACGATACATGGCCGCGCCAGAGGACCGCTCTATGCTCCTTTGACTGCTCCACCGACAGGCTCGCCTCTCTGAATCGACGGGCGAAACCTTCTGCCGAGGCAACGTCCCCGTCGGGTGTCCCTCCGATCGGCTCTCAGGGCTCGCGCAGAGACTGAGCTGGCCTCGCTGCTGGTGCCCCCGCCGAAACCATGGGCCAAGATCAGGTTGGCGACAGCAACGCGATGCCCAGGGTGCTCCCGGCCGAAGCCCCAGGCAACCAAGTCCAGCCTTCCTCGGAGCTGTCGATCGGGGTCCAGAGTCACTCGGCGGGAGAAGCAGGAGCTCGCGGCACCACGTCATGGCACGGCATGGACAGCGTCGAGTTCATGCAGAGCGGCGGCTACTCGACCGGCCACCAGTTCCCGACCGACCACGCCGCCTTCCTACCCTACACCGTCTCCGAGGAGCACAGCCAGGCCGGAGGGGCGTCACAGACCCTCGGTGCCGACGGCAACGACATGGCCGCCAACTCGGAGCTGTTCGGCAGCACTTCGGCCGCCTCTGGCTTCTCGGCCTCGCACGAATCGCAGCTCAACGGCGCGCTGGGTCACAAGGGTCGATTCGCTGCCACCTCGCTGCCGACACCGCCGGACAGCCACCGCCGGCCGCATGCGAGACAGGTGGCCACAACCGACATGGATGTCGACATTGCGGCCGACAACGTCAGCGGCCACGGTGGCAGCGGCGGCGATGTGCCCGCTTCTGGCGAGGGCGATGGCAATGGCAATGGCAATGGCGACAGCGGTGCTGCCGCCATTGCGCATGGCGCCGGCGGTGAGACGCGGCGGCGACCCCTGCAAGGCCTGTCCACCAACCCCAAAGGGCCCGCCGACGGCGAGATGGCCGACGACAACGAGGTCGAGAGCCCCTCGCCACTGGGTTTCATCCAGAAGCGCATGTTTATGGTGAGTCGGGTAGACATCGGATATCGTGGCCGGGGGCAGATGACCTTGTGTCGTCGCGGAGGATGGCCCCACCGTCTTCGCAGCGTCGTGCTCGATCGCTGATGGCCTTTCTCGCGCCCCTTGTTGTTCGGTCACCCACAGCAACAGGGCTCGCCGACGCCTGGGCAGCGAAGCTTGCACCTGGGCAGGGTCGGAGAGTCTACGAATCGCGCAGGCGGCGGCGGCGGCTCGCGGCCGTTCCTTTCCCATCGCCCGAGCCAGAGCCTCGGTCAGGCAGGCTCGATGATGTCGGGCGGCAACCCAGGGGATGGCTCTGCGATGCGTTCAGAGAACCTGCACATCAGCGCGCCGGTCTCGCCCGTCGAGGCTGGGTCGCAAGGCACCTTCCCGGCTATGATGCCGTTTGGCCCGAACCAGCAGCACGACACGCGGCATGCTCACCAGGCGATGCTCGGCCATGGACATCCAATCTCGCCCGGCGTCCTGCAGCAGTCGCAGGGGCAGCATCAGGACCAGATGCATGGCCATCGTCACATGGCATCCCAGCAGGAGCAGTCTCGGCAGACTTCGGGCCACTCGATCCGCTCCATCTCGCCGTCCAACAGCATAGCCTCGACCGCGATGACGTCGTTGACGTCCATGTCGGGCCAGCACGGGCAGTGTTCCATCTCGCCGCTCGGCAGCGCCCGATTCTACCCGGACGCCTCCTTTGGCTCGCAGGACACGTCGACCGACAGCATCTCCAACGCCCCTTCGACGTGCGTCAGCCGGGCCTCGTCGACGTCCGACGAGCTGCTGTCGCACGACTTTAGCAACGGCTTCGTCCCTCCGTCGCTGCGCATGTCGAAGCGCAAGCGCAAGCTGCTCAACATCGACCGCAAGCTGATCTGCGACTTCCAGCTGGCCAACCCCGACGCCAAGCAGGACGCCATCGCAGCCAAGTTTGGCATCGAGAGGAGCACCGTCAGCAAGATCCTCAAGCAGAAGCACAAGTGGCTCGCCATTGACCCGAGCAGCGAGGCCGCCAGGATCGCCAAGCACCGCACCGCCAAGTTCCCCGAGGTCGAGGATCGGCTGAGCGAATGGGTGATGCGGACCACGGCCGAGGGCAAGCCCGTCCATGACGCCATGATCCGCTCCGAGGCGCTCCGGATCGCCAAGGAGATCGGCCTCACCCTCGACAAGTTCAAGGCCTCGGGTGGCTGGATCGAAAAGTTTCGCGAGCGCAACCAGCTGCCCAAGGCCAACACCACGAGGGACATCGACGCATCCACCAGCGCCTCGCCGTCGGGGTCTAGGCTCCCCACTCCGGACGGCGACGCCGACATCGATGCTGAAGCTGATGCTGATGCCGATGCCGATGCCGACGGCGATATCGTGTGCGACGACGGCCCGTCCAGGGTGAAGGGCGAGCACGTCGGTGCGGGCCGTGCCTCGAGGTCGGCCTCCGCAGCAGCGGCTTCCACGGCTGCTGCCGCCACCGCCGCTGCGGTCCCAAGCCATGAAGGCTCAGCTCGTGCTCTGACGCCTTCGGCCTCGGAACGGGCGGCAGCGACGCAGCATGACGGCCATCACAGCGTCTCGGGCCAGACGACGCCCACGTCGAGCCAGAAGCGCCGCTTCGAGGCGATGGCCTCTGCTTCGTTTGCGGGCTCGGACCACGTCTCGCCGCTCAACTCCAACCTCGCCCGGATGCAGTTTGGCCAACAGACGAACGCGGGCCAACATGAAGGCTTGTCGCCCGAGTTTGTCCAGCACATGGCCGCTCAGCAGCAGCAGCACCACCACCACCAGCACCATCAGCCGCAGGGTGGTCATCCGTCGCTTCATTTCCAGCAGTCGAACGGCAGTCTACCGCCCCACGCCGCCGGATTCTTCCCCAGCCGCGCCTTTGTCGACGGCGCGGGCGCGCTGCATAGCTCTCAGGACAACCCGTTCCTGCTACAGATGCAGGGCGTCGGTGCCGGACCCGCTGGTGCAGGCGGGGATGGCGATGACAGGGCCGGGGTCGCTGCCAAACGGCGCCGGGCGGGTCCGCAAGCAGCGCGGGTCGAGTCGCACCCAGTGCTGGGCCCGCCCTTCGGCGGCGACCGGCCGGACCCGAGGGCGGTCATGAACGCTTTCCAGTTCCCCGCCACGCCCGACAACAAGCTGCGGCTGCGTGAGAGCTCGATGCACAGCCGCCCCGTGTTTGAGACGCCCGGCGGCTCGCCCTCTCCCTTGCCTCAACGCCCGCACGAAGGAGCGCCGATCTCGCCAGCCTCCACGGATGGGCAGACGACCGCAGCCGCCGGCAAAGCCGGCAGCTCCACCGGTGGCGCGCGAAAGGCAGGCCAGGCGTCGAAGCCACGGCAGAGGAAAGCGTCGACCTCGCCGGTCAAGCGGTCCAGTCGAAGAGGCCACGTCCCCGGGGCATCGTCGCCCCTGACCAGGTCGCCGCACGGCATCACGGCTTCGATCGAGGACGAGGCTGACTGCGGCCCGGGGATATCAGCGGGCGAGTCTCCAGCGGGGCAAGCCCAGGCTGCACCGTCGAGATCGTCGCCGCTGCCCGCAGGCCAGGCTGCCGGCCAGGAGCAGTCGATTGTGACGGCCGAGCAGGCGCAACAGTCGTTGGACCTGGTGCTGCGTTTCCTCGGCGAGCAGTCGAGCAACTTTGTGCCCTCGAGCCACTTTGTCGTCTTTGGCCACCTGCAGGCCAACATCGAGCAGTTGATCCGGGATCGCAACGGAGCCGGCGGCGCGACGTCGTCTGGCGCCCAGTCGACGGCGCCATCCTCGAGGCCCATCTCGCCGACCGCCGCGGCCGTCCACAGCGAGCAATAGCACCGGCTGCAAGGCGGATCCCTGCGCCCCTTTCTTCCATGGGTTCCGCCCGTCCCCCCCAGAAAGCGCCGTCGTGGCGATCTCTCCGCATCACAGCATCAAGCATCTCCTTCTCGCCCAGCACTGCCGCCTTGACTCGACTCGACCCGGCCCGACAGACAGCCAGCCCAGCGGCCAGCCGACATCTGTCGACGCTCGCCTGGCGTTTAGCCGTGCCGCTGTCGCCTTGGCCCCCCTCGTCATGTCTCCAGCATCCTCTCTCGTCGGGTCTTCTCTCCATCGCACATACGCTCGCCACTCCTCTGGCTTTCTCGCGCACAGACGCACGGCACACCATTCCACTCATCGCTGCCACCGCCGTCGGTCGTCGCCGTCAAGGCCATTTCGCTTTGCCATTGCATTCAGTCTAGCCCAAGAGTTGCTACTCGCTGCCCGCCACCATTTGCTTCGCCCGCCCCCCGTCATGCACTCTCCGCAGCTCCAAAAGAAAACCAGGGTGCCCTCGTTTGACCGCCCTGCCTCGTTCCGCTCCGCTCCATCCATACACACTTCTGCCCTCATCATGACACGATCCCGCTCCCACCACACTCAATCGACGAGTCGAACATCCAAGCTGCGGCCAAACGAACGATGAGACTGACGGAGGTGCTCTATGCCCCGCCCTGTCCTGCCCTGCTTGCTGGGGGACGCACCGACGATGATCGGGAGTCGGACGAGGCGAGGTGCGAGGCACGTCCAAAGCCGGCGGGATTCGCGGGGGGGAAACGCGGCCAAGGTGCAGGCTACCTAGGGTGGAGGTTGGCCTCGAAAGGAAAAACGTGGGTGCGTGCCCGTGCGCCCGTGCGCATCTTCTGTTGCGGCTGAAAGCAAGCCAAGATGGCCGAGCCATGGCGTACGTGACCGTGCATGGCCCGTGCAGCTCTCTGCCGCCTGGCCGAGATCCCAACTACAAGCTTGGATCTCGCCTCGAGCGGCGTTTGGGTGCGGGCCAGACCAGGCCAGGCGGCTTTTGCGGATCGTCGCACTCCCGCACCGCCCAGGCGCGGCACCCACACAGCAGCCGCCCGCTGATGCCGCCGCCGCCGCCGCCCTACGTGGCGCGCTGTTGATCAGACCGTTGATCCTGGACTGGACCGTGAGAGACGAGGACGCGACGCCGCCCCCAGAAGCCAGGCCAGGCCAGGCCAGGTCAGGCTGCTTACCTCCGTCCTTCTCCATCTCCTTCCTTCCTTCCCGCATCCATCTATCCATCCATCAGCCCGAACCATTGCCTGTACCCACCACCCGCCCTCCCAAAGCCATCCCGTCTCCGCCCCGCAGACCGCACCCGAACACAACCATGTCGTTCCTCTCGCCCGCCGCCTTTTTCGCCTCGTTCCAGAGCAACGCCCACAACCTCTCGTTCTACACCATCCCCGCCGCCTGGGCCCTCGCCATCGCCCCGCACTTTTACGCCGTCTCGCTGTCCAAGGGCAAGTTCACCAACTCGTCGCCCCGCCAGTACCTCGCCGACATCATCAAGAAGGAAAACAAGACGGCCGACGACAAGAAGTACGTCCGCGCCGAGGCTGCCAACGCCAACGGGTGAGTACCGTCGAGCCCCGCTTCGTCGTGGACCAGCACGCTCAAGGGACAGGACAGAGATGTGATTGATGGTCGCGCGGTCGAGATGCTGACCCTTATCCCCCCGTGCCCTTTCCATCCGCGCCCCCCTCCCTCCCTTTCGCCTCGTCCGCTTGCAGATTTGAAAAGTGAGTGACGTCCGCAGCATCTTCTCGTGGAAGTCCTTCGCCACTCGAACCCCCGCAGACTGACCTCTTCCTCTGCCTGCCCGGCCCTCCCGTCATCTCGCCCTCTCGCACCTCGACAGCCTCGCCTTCTTCGCCTCGGCCGTCATCGCCGGAAACATTGCCGGCGTGCCCGCCCACGAGCTCAACGCCCTCTCGTTTGGCTACCTCTTCAGCCGTGCCATCTTCAACTAGTGAGTGGTCCCCCTCCCTCCATCCCCATCCCTACCCGACGCACCTCATGGCACCGTCCACAATTTCGGTCGTCCAATCAACTGACCGTGTCGAGCCGCATCTTCCTGCCTCCCCAACCCCGTGCAGCCTCTACATCACCGTCGAGGACGAGACCAAGGCCACGCTCCGCTCCGCCTCGTTCCTCGCTGGCATCGGCATGATCTTTACCCTCTTCATCCGTGCGGGCAACAAGGCCTTCTAAGCCCGTCGACCCGCGCGTCGACTCGCGCATCTGACCCGACCTGCGCGAGCAATCGCCTCTGGCCGTCCCTGTCTCGGCACGCCATCATGCAATCACAAAGAAAGAACACCCAACGCGTCGTTTGTCCCGCTGCCCACAGACGAGGCCTGACGAAGCGGTCCCCTTGATTTACGTTAAACCGATCGCCGATCGCTGCGCTAGTCCTTGACAGCCATCCTACTCCGCTGCCGCACTGCCGGGCCGTAACGCTGGAAGAGAAAGGGAATGGGTACGGCGGCGAGCGAGACGAAGGCCAGGATGCTCGCCGCCCAGCCAGCACCGAGTCCTTGAAACATGGTGCGTCCAAAGAGGGGAACTGGAGCATCCGGAGCGGAGCAGGGAAGAGGAAACAAAGTCGTCGAACGCCCGCACCCCGTCTGGTTCAGCCATCGGTCCGTTCGTCTGCCTTGATCGAACCCTCGCATACGGGGCGCCGCGCCACGCCGCGCGGCGCGGGACTGGGCCACGTACGCACCAAAGACGGCTAAGATGCAGCGCGAAAAGGCCATGGCGCCCAGCGCCGAGGCGGCATAGGCCGTGTAGCACTCGGCCACGTAGACGCTGAGCGAGTTGAAGGAAAAGATGAGGCCTGCCCCGATGGGGATCGTTGCGAGCATGGGCGAGATCCAGTGGATCGAACGTCGGGCGGTCCAGCCGAACCAGAAGCTGCACGGCGGCGAGGGGAGGAACTAGCCGGTTGGGGTGAGTCAACTTCGCTCCTTCGCAAGGACTGGCAAAGACAGGCCGGTCAAGGCATCCGACGGCGGCGGCGGCGGCAGGGGCGAGGGGCGGGGGGGGGGGGGGGGGGGGACTCGACAAGTCCGACGACAAACGATGGGAGCGCTCAGCACGCCCTGCTTGAGCCGGGCCTCGGGCGGCGCCC